AAAAAAAAAAAAAAAAAAAGAGAGAGAGGAAGAAATCATGCAGCACGGAAATGTGGCACAGCTTGCCTCGATCTTCTTAGCAAGGGAGGGACACAGCCTTTAATTTGGAGCCAGAGTCTATTTTTCTTTGCTGAGCCTTCTGCTATTTATCTTTAATGTCACATCTTTAATGTTTTGCTAATACAGATCTATGTGTGTTTTCCAAGAAACTATTCATTTTAATTATGCATTTGGCCAGGTGCCTGTAATTCCAGCACTTGGGGAGGCCGAGACCGGTGGTTCACCTGAGGTCAGGAGTTCAAGACCAGCCTGGCCAACATAGTGAAACCCTGTCTCTACTAAAAGTACAACAATTAGCCGGGTGTTGGTATGCACCTGTAATCCCAGCTACGTGGGAGGCTGAGACAGGAGAATTGCTTGAACCTGGGAGGCAGAGGTTGCAGTAAGCTGAGATCATGCCACTGCATTCCAGCCTGGCAAGAGAGGGAGACTGTCTCAAAAAATAAAAAATAAATTATGCACTTAACCTTTAGGCAGAAGGCCTCAAAATCCTTTGCTCTGGCTGCCACCAGAGATCCGGGCCAAGACTTTGTCCTTATAATAAAGATGCATAAACCCCACAGGATCCCCAAGGACCTGAGTCATCTGGCCAGGCCTCTCACTGCAGCCTTATCTGCTGCCACCAGTCTGGTCCCACCTGCCAGCCTGCCTGGCCTTCTTGTGTCATCTGGATATGCCTTGCTCCCTCCTGCTGACATTTACCCTGTGCCCTTCATGCCTTCTGGGTGCATGGCCTTGTGGAGTCCCACTTCTGGCTTTCCAGTTTGTGTTCACCTGCCAAAGGTTAGCTCAGAGACCTCAGGAGTCTGCCCCCGACCCTGCAGCCTAGTTCAGAGTCCTCTGTTCTATTCCTACAGGACTGGTGAGTGGCCTTCCTTGAAGTTATTAGTTCATCATTGTATGTTTGCATGACTTCATATCCACCTCTTCTAGTTGATCTTAAGGCTCCTTGAGAAACGGAGTCCTACCTCTTTTCCTTAACGTGTGTGCTTTCAGTACCTGGAGCAATGTCTGAGGCTCCTGGCCACAAACAAACGCAATGTGTGCTCAGGGACGGATCGATTTGCCAGAGGCACATCCCACCATCCTTTAAACTCAGCCATACTAAAGTTATTCTGCATAGATGCAGACATTGCCCCAGATTTGTCTCCTTTCTGGACGACATTAGAGACTTTAGTCCTCCCATTGGATGAAGTAACATACTCTTGTCAAATCATTTTGCTCCTGTCTCAGCCTCCCCCACCTGACAAGTACAACACTGAGAGGCTAAGCTTGAATTATTCCTTCTGATAATCTCTACAGCTTCGTCATCTCCAAGACTGGCTTTGCAACAATCCTAAAACATGTGTATTCCTTATAGGACCCTCGTTGAACAAGGCCAGATATTTTTTGAAATATTTAGAATTGTTTTTTGCTGGCCTACAAACCTGTGATTATACACACCTAGGCAGGCCTCTTCCCGGGTCGTCAGGCGGTGTCTCATGTCTTTATCAAGAGGTAATTAGTGTAAGAGAAAAAATGAAGTTTGAAAGAAAACATTTTAAAGAGTGATTATGCCAGATAAAGGGGAAAAGGCTTTTAAGAAATGAAAGGCATGAGAAGACCAGTAGCTCAGTAAACAATGAAAGGGACTTGGAGGGTGGAAGGTGGGCGAGGATGAGAGATCACTTAATAAGAACAATGTACAGGATTAGAGCGACTGCTGCACTAAAGCCTAGACTTGATGCAATGTATCCAAGTAAAAAAACTGCACTGGAACCCCAGAAATCTCTACAGAATCTATTTAATAATGATGGAGGCCAGGCGTGGTAGCTCATGCCTTAATCCCAGCATTTTGGGAGGCAAGTTTGGGAGGCCGAGGGCGGGGCGGATGACCTGAGGTCAGAAGTTCAAGACCAGCCTGGCCAACATGATGAAACCCCCGTCTCTACTAAAAATCCAAAAATTAGCCCTGTATGGTGGTGCATGCCTGTAATCCCAGCTATTTGGGAGACTGAGGCAGAATCGTTTGAGAGAGGTGGAGGCTGCGGTGCGCCGTGATGGCGCCACTGCACTCCAGCCTGGGCAACAGAGCAAGACTCCTTCTCAAAAAACAGATGGAAGAGTTTGGTAATTCTCCAAATCTACAGAAAGTGAGGGTGCAGCACGAGGGACTCCAGTTAGAAGCGCCCGGTTTCCTGGGGAGCAAGGCGGGATGTTACCCAGACTGTTAGTTTTATCCTCTCCGGTGGGAGGGTCGGGGCAGCAGCTCGTCCCAACGCTTTAATTGGAGCCAGCGGCCGCCGCCCACCCGCGCCTGCTGGTCCGCGGCGTGGGGCTCCTCCCTGCCGCGCCCGCGCCCGCGGGGACATAGCGCGGCGGCCCCGACGCAGGGAGGAGGGCAGCGCCCCGCAGTCGCGGAGGCCGGTCATGGCCGCGGGGCCGCCCGCGGAGCGTCTGCGCGACGAGGCCCGGTGCCCCGTGTGCCTGGACTTCCTGCAGGAGCCGGTGAGCGTGGACTGCGGCCACAGCTTCTGCCTCCGCTGCATCTCCGAGTTCTGCGCCAGGTCGGACGGCGCGCAGGGCGGTGTCTACGCGTGTCCGCAGTGCCGGGGCCCCTTCCGGCCCGCGGGCTTCCGGCCCAACCGCCAGCTGGCGGGCCTGGTGGAGGGCGTGCGGCAGCTGGGGCTGGGCGCGGGGCCCGCGGGGGCGCGGCGGTGCGCGCGGCACGGCGAGGACCTGAGCCGCTTCTGTGAGGACGACGGCGCGGCGCTGTGCTGGGTGTGCGACGCCGGCCCCGAGCACGCCGCGCACCGCACCGCGCCGCTGCAGGACGCCGCGGGCCGCTACCAGGTGAGGGCGCCCCCGGCGGGGTCGGCGCGCGCCGGGAGGGGAGACGCGGGCGGCGGCCAGAGCGCAGCCGTCGGGGCCGCCGCGGGCTCCAGCGGCTCCTGCAGCCCCGCACCCGCCCGGCGCCCGCCACCGGCCCCCGCGGCGCACGCGCAGCTCGGCCGCCCTGGCCTTTGCTGTGGGGACCCCCTTTGCGACCCCTGTTCCGGAGCGCGCACACACCCACTGTTTTGGACTGGCCGCCTCTGCGGCAAGCCCTCTCTTGTCTTCTAATTCTAAGTCGTCTTTAATCTACTGACATATTTAACCGAAGGGCTGTCAATCACGCTGTAATGCATTGCAAATACTAGCTTTCTTAAAATTTTTATTTTGTTTGATTGTTTTTAAATTAAGGTTTAGAATATTTTCCCCTTCTCTCTGCGTTTACCAGTGTCTCTCTTATTATTTCTTCTTGATTTTGGTCATTTGAGAGATTTAGGCACTAGGTAATTTCTAGCTAGACTTTTGTGATATGTTCTTGGCTTTTTTTTAAATCCAGAAAACACCATACAGAAGATTGCTAGTGTAACATTTCTTTTCTTCTTCCTCTTCTTCTTCTTCTTCTGCTGCT